GAAGGGTGTTCAGGGCTTGGTACTGAGTAATAGAGTATAATTCTTCAGCAGAAACCATTGGCATCAAGCTGGTGGATCAAGAGGTGGCTGTAGAGATCTCTCAGCAGTGGCTGTAGAGATCCGTAAAACCCCAGATGCAGAGCTTCAGGGAGGGACAGTGTGCTCCTTTGACAACAGTTAGTCAAAATTCTGAGAATGTTATATAAATAGAGTTTATGGAAACTTTGTTTTAAATGCTTCATGGGAAGGAAAAAGTCTGGGGCAAAGTACTGTTGGCAGGGAGCTTAAATTGCAGTTTATAGTCCCTCTTAAGGATTTACCAATTGTGCGTGATCTTTTGTAAAAGCTGTTTATAACACTGTGGGCCTGGGTTCCTCATTCAGAACATCAACAACGATATCATTTGAATGGCAGCTGGTTTGGAGTACAGCAAGACTTATTGCTTGAAGAAGCTCTCCATTATGTTGCCATTGGCAGCCATTACTACCTCTTACCAGTTTTGTGAAAAGTGTCTGAGCGTGATAAATGAGTAAATAAAACATCTTGATATAGGACTGATTTTGGTTTCTAAATTGTGTTTTGCAGTGTGACGTTCACAGTAGTAAGAAATGTGTCAAAAGATCCACTGATTGCTAAGTTAAGATGGCTCTGCAAGTGAAGTAATCGGCTGGCACTCTAGATGGATTTCTTACTCAGGTGTCCATGTGATTTGGTTCTGTTCATGCTCGACTTTTAGATGCTCTGTATTTTGCTTAATGGAAGTGGATTTCTTTTGAATTCTGGCCTCCCATCTCTTTGGAATTAACATCACTTGATTTGCATCAAGGGTCAGCGGTTTTTCCAGATACCCCTTCAAAACTGTTTTCTTGACTCTGCTTCTCTTGGCAGACTTTATCTCCTAATGATACCTAAGATTGAATTGCAGTGTTGTTGAACATTGGTCAGCCATAGTGTCAAAGCTGCAAAAGCATGGGACTTTTCATGTATGGCTTTGGCAGACTGAAGAATTGACATGAGTCACCATGAGCAAAGACCTGAAGGTATTGGTTTTGTCTTTTTGTTTTCAGAGGGTCCATATGGAATATTTGCTGGCAGAGATGCCTCCAGGGGACTAGCAACTTTCTGTCTAGATAAAGATGCACTCAGAGATGAATATGATGACCTATCGGACTTAAATGCTGTACAGATGGAAAGTGTAAGAGAGTGGGAAATGCAATTTAAAGGTAACTGCTCTTAGTACATCTCTAGCTTAAGGAAATGCTTGTAATATAAAATGACTGACTTGGGTTTGGGACATCTTTAAAAGAGATGTTGATAGTGACATTAACAGTGCAATGTGGCTTTCCTAGGAAAAGACCATGAATTTCAGGGCTTTCTTCTTTAGAGAAGATTCCACCATATCCCACTACAACTTTTTTACCGTGATAGATTTATACAAGAAAGGTGTCCTCTTGTCAGCTATTCAGCATAGAGTAGCTTAGCCAGTGGAATTCCTGCTCTCAGGTTGTTTGCTTTGGATCCCATTGAATTATGACTAGGACAAAGAGTTATTTGGGCATTAAGAGTTGAACAAGTTTGTCTTGAAATAATTTCTAAAATGTATGGAAGTATGCCTCTGGAGGGAGAGGAAACAATTTTTTCACATTAATTGAAATTGAAACAGGCAGAGGAAATTCGTGCTTGTTCTAATAGCACTATTTTCAGCCTTTATGTGATAAAAGCCAAGCTGATTAGAAACAAAACTGAAGTACTAAGAGTAGAACAAGTAGTGAGCAGCAGTGGTATCAAGATGGTTTTAGCAGCTGAGCTCACTGATAAATTGCCATCAATGCCAGTGATTCATGTTCAGAACCCTAATGTGTGGGGGGGAAAAATGAAGTAGCAGCAGTGCAGGCTAACTTGTGAATGAAGCTGTTTTTGATTGTAATGGAATCATGAATCTCTTTCAGAAAAATATGACTACGTAGGTAGACTCCTAAAACCAGGGGAAGAACCATCAGAATACACAGATGAGGAAGATACCAAGGATCACACTAAACAGGAATGAACTTTGTAAACAACCAAAGTCAGGGGCCTTCGGAACTGCAACCTCTTTTCCCCATCACAGAATGTCCTGCATCTTTGGGTACAGTTCATCTGCTGCGAAAAACATTCAACAGGTTTTGTACAAGGAAAATAATAAAGTCACAATTGAAGATTGGAATACTAGACATTATTTGTGCTGCCAAACTTTTTGTTGCAGTTTATTTGTAATGTCTGGTAAGGCTTAGTGAAGAGGGGCCAGGGATTTAAAGGCAAAACCGCTATTCCTTTTTATCGGTAAGCTGAAGCCTTTTCAAATAGCATATATTACAAACTCTCTAAAGATGTGAGTCTTCAAGCTCAGTGAAAGGTTTGAAACTTGTTTCATGTTTGTCTTCTCCTTCAGCATTAAACAAAGATGTGCTCATGTACATCAGTATCAGTAGGTTAGACTACTGACACTGGTGTTATAATGTGAATTTCCAATTTTGTTTTGTACGTGGGCCTTAGTAGCCCTGGCAGAATACTTCAGTTCTCTAAGAGAAGTCCACATAGATCAGGATGGGGGTAAAATTCATCCTTCTCTCAAAAGGATAGGGTAAAACTATTTCCTCTTCAACAACTATTATCTGAAGCCTGCCTCCCTCCCACTCCTTTTTCCCATTTGTCTGAATCAAATCAAATATTAATTGTGCCTTATTTCGCTTGCATAGACTTGAATTGTTTTAAGGGAAAACCCTCTTTCATAGTCACTACATAGCAACATTGAGACTGAAGTTAGAATGTTCTGTTGACTGGAAAACCTTGATGTCATTCTGTGTATAGAATGTAAAAGAGGAATGCTCAGTGTTACTGCCATATGTTAATACTACATATACTTAAATTAGCATTGTGATGGCCAAATGCATACTCCCACGCTTCTTTTTAAGTAATTTAAAAAAAAAAAGTCACCCTTCCTCCTCTTCCAGAAGCTGCCTAACTTCTGGGAGCATAGCCTTCACACCCCTGTAGAGTGAAGGGGCGTGCGCGCGTGTGTCTGTGTGCGTGTCTGTCTGAATGCAAGACTTGAGAAGGATTGTTTCTGCAGATATTGTAAATATGAGTACCATTTTAATAAAGCATGTACAATATCAAATGGGCTGTCAGACTCTATGTAGAAGCTGTGAAGCAGAGCTGGATTATGGTGGAATACAAAGTAAGGGGAAGAAGTCTTGGATATGAAAGATTCGCTGTTATTAATGTTCCTAGCTCCAGGGGTGTTGATTTTCTTTTCAAGTCCCACCTTTTGAAGAAACTGAAAGACTCAGGTAAGTTGTAGTTAAAGGATGAAACCTATGCCAATGTATTTATGGTGGAAAAAAAATCAAGTAATGGTATATAAGCATTCTAGGAAATCTCATAATGTACAATAAAAGCAGTGTGTTTCATGGCGCTTGCAGCTGGAGATCAATACATGTGGAGCAATGCAAACATCTTGCAGAAACTTCACTGCCTACTTTACCAGATTTCTGACTATGACCCCATTAAGTTCCTGGCTTATGGTTTTATGAGTTACATCTGCACCTGTGCTTGAAGATTTTATCTGTGGTATGTTTACAGGAACAGATTTCTATACATCCATTATGTTGAACTGTCAACCCTGAAATTTCAGGAACTACAATGTTTTTATTACTGTTGGACTGAAAGAAGTTTTGTGTTAATATAAATGAAACAAAATCCTCCACTGAATCGCTCATAACTCACGTGTCCTAGAAGGCAGATTAAATTCTTTTCCTTGCATAGGCAAGCCTGAAACATAATAGTTTTATCACAGCAGAAGAAATAACAGAACTGAAGCCATTTCAAGTCAGGCTCCATTTGCGGGTTCTCACAGGAACTGAGCAATGCAGCTAGGTACATGTCTGGCCAGTTAGTGTGTGCCATTCATTAAGGTGCTGGTTTCTGTTTATGTCACACCCTTGTTAACTGAGCATGGATGCAGTGTCCAATATTCTGTTTGTGCATTATTACTGTAATAAGTATCTGCTAATCATTGAACACTGCTGCAATGTTGGTTAGGCTAGTATAACTAACTACAGGAATACTACTTAGATGGAAGAGCAGAAGCTGCCAACAAATAAAGAAAAGCTTTCTTGTGCAGGACAGCAGCTAAGAGTACTTGAGTGTTAATTTGCTATCCAGACACCTTACTGTTTCATTTTAACTAAATCCAAAAGGTTTACACTGTAGTTGGAGTACGCATATCACGTTTTAGCTCTTGCTTAAGCTCTTGCACCTCATTACAGCATCAAGATGCATGTGGCTGTGGATTGGGAATAGAAGTCTTGTGCCCATATCAAATGGGACAATCAGATAAAGTTTTTTCAGCCTTCCACATAAAAATACTTTCACAGTTGATTGTATTACAGCTTCTACTGTACAGAGCCATGGATGGAGATTCCTACCACCCACCATGATTTACCCTGTTATTTACTCATTGCAGCTATTACTATTGCTACACCTGGCCTAGCTGTAGCTTGAGCTGTTTATCTTGCTTGCGCCTGTTTTATGTAGAAATTTCTTACTGGGCAAAGAGCAGTTGTTTTCACATGCTGTGCCTTCCTAACCCAGTGCAGCCTTTTCCTTTCCCATGCTCAAAGAACTGCAAGTGAAGCTTAATCCGATCAAAATTAATGAATGTGTTTGTTTGTTTTTTTTTTTTTTATTTTAATTATTCAAACACTTTTTAAGAGAGCAATGCCCCAATACTTATGGTTTAAGATCGGTTAAATAAAAAAGGGATCAAAGATGAGTAAAAGGATTATTTTCGCTTTCAAGCAACTTAGCAGTATCTGAAGACTGCAACACAAAATCTATTTTGGCAGTACCATGTTGCATAGATAAAACCCTGTATTTTGATGCAGAGTGGATCTGACTTTGGCTTATTTATTTTGCCATAAAAGTCACTAGTGATAAGAGGATGACAACTTAAACAGTGCTTTAGAACACACCATATTCTTCATTTTAACAGGAAGTCAATGCATACAGTAGGCACTCAGAGTTCAGAACATCACATCCTTGGAAGCTTCAGTGAAATCAGTATCATAACTTTTTTGGAGACACTCATCCTTGTAGTAGTTGTAGCAGTCACTTGGTAAAAATTCACTGTTAAACTAATAAAAATGACGGGTTGATATTGACAGAATTTTTGTTTCGGCAACGTAAGGGGCTGGTCTCATCTTCAGTAGAAGCAAAATACATTTCCGGTTTGCCATCACTTCTTTTCTTGGGCTAGAGTTAGTGTTACTCTGGGTTAGAAGCAGTCATTTGTTAAAATGTTTCTGGCCTATTTGTACACCACTTCCCAAGTTTTTGTTTTGATGGTAGGAAATGTATTTTTAAATCTTGATTTTTTTTTATTTTTTTTTTTTAAACAAACATTTTTACTTAATCTTGAACATGGCAAATTTTCACTGGAGATTATGGAACTGACCTTCTGCATGCTTGTACATGTTCTTATCTTTTTATTGACACAGATCTGCTGTTTCTTGGTTAAGATTTGCAGTTTGGTGCTCTCTTAAATTGCTTCTTGTTTTGCTACACTTTAAATAGCTGTCATAAACCATCACAATGTAAGCTATTTTTCTGCTCTTGTTTTTGCTTTTTTTCTTTCCCTGTGAAATCAGATCAGCTTCAGCCTCTTTGGTGAAAAGGTCAAGAAATAGTTAAACTGGACCTGGTAGCTTTCCCCCTACCCTGAAACATGCATTGCTGTGTGTAATAGAACAAAATATATTCGAAGTTCTACTTTTCGAACAATAATTTTCTTCCTGTGTTTTATTCCTGCTTCATGGATGTTGATTTTTTTGCTGGTGTTTTAGGATCAAAGCTGTGTAGTTTTTCATGAAGCATAACTGACTGTCTAATACAGAAACAAAGTGTTCTAGAAATTGCCTTACTAAGCATAGAGTATGTTTGTGATGAAGTCCTTAGTTTGCTTCTTGCAGTCTTAGCTCCCTCCAATTTCCATGTTATGGTTTAAAGAATAGGTTGTGGGGGGAAAAAAAGCTCAACCAGTGATTGCTTTCTCAGCCATGGATGGAACGATGCATTTGCAGTTGTCAGTTTGGCAATTTAGTCCTAGTAATCATATCATTTTGGCCTTGAGGGCTTAAATATAGAAAACTTAATTCAATATGAACAGGTATATCCACCCAGGTTAGTTCAAATGTAGGTGAAGTATTTTTAATGAGAAAAATACACCCAGTGCACCCAACCCAGGAGCATTCCCCTCTGTGGAGTTGCCTGCGTTTCTATGCACTTTGCTGTACCAGAAGTTTGCAACTTTGCTGTGTTTCACAGTTCCAGTCTGGCAGAACAGCCTTCTTACAAAATTAATGAAAAAAAAAAACCTAATTATCCCCATTCTGGTTACAAACTGTTTTCTGTGACGATGATACTTTACTGAGCTGTCACAATTTCTAGGTAACTGGGTAAAGCCTACAAGCATACTATGTAAACACCTAAGAATAAAACTCTCTGGATGTGAGAAGTTGTGGAGGCAGGTCTGGATTTGTCATTGTCCATGAGCATCCTGGAGTAAAAACACATTTCTGCTGCCTGACTTGGGCCCTGATTTTATGGGAGCGTGAAGGCTGTCATTTCATTTTATGTAGTTGAAGGCATCACTTTTTACTGGAAAGAAACCACGACTGATGAGCTTTGAAGGTATTAATCCAAAGCGTTGCCTTAAAACAGCTAAACTAGATGCTTAAATTTCTTCAGAATTTTCTATCATAGTGGCATTGTAGCTGAAGTCTCATGTCATCTGGGCACATAATAATGCCACCTCAGACAAGTTAAAAGCTGATTTTCTACATAAATCCCATGACTAGGTTAGATTTTGGGGGTTTGTTTGCTGCATTTCTAGTGGAGTTTGCAGAAGTTGAAGCAAAGGGCACTGCCTTTTTCCCCTCCAAAACTCTAGGATAAGGAAAGCAGAGAGGAAAGCTTTAAGATTACAGGCATAGCCCAGCGTAGCATTGAGATTTCTCAGCAAAAGAACATCAGCCAACAGTTAAGTCTCTTCCTCAGTCTGGAGTTGCAAAAGGGTGGTTTTTCACCTCAGCACAGGATGCCTGATTCCAGTGCACACAGAGCACAGGCTGCTGTGAGTACGAGCTGCTTTCTGCTCATTTATCCCACAGACACCCAAATCCCTGCTAAACTCCAGAAGAGTCTGTCATGCAGACAGGCTACTGCTTCTCATTGTTGGAAAATATCTGCTCTCCATAAGGAACAACAGTTTTCTTTCTTTCCCTACAAAGCCTTCTGAGCAAGACCGAAGGAAAACCTTAATGAATGAGCTTTTAGCATAGTATAGTTTTGAAGTATTTGCTGAGAAACGTCTCTAGAAGAAGGCATTCTATCATTAAGCACACAAGAGCTTTTAGACATGTGAAAAGTCAAAAACTTGATAAGTACTTAGTAAAAACCTGTTAGGATACAGTCTTAAGATGAATGAATTGAAGGTTACCTTAAATGGATGTAGAAGGCAGCAGAAAGGATGCTGTACATATACATGCCTGCTCAAAGATAAATATATGGCTCCACAACAGGAATGCCGGTTACAGAAAGGTAATTAACAACTTTGAACCCTACAGAGGAACAAACTGCTTAACCAGTAGTCCTGGGGCTTTGTTCTAACCTTTGATCTTTGTGTTCTCATCTCAGCATGTGAACAGCACAGCAGTGGAGCTGTCATTCTTTCTACCACTCTGACAGGGAACCAAGGAGGGAAGGAAGGTCTGAGTCTCTTGGACAACAAAGGGGGCGTTCCTGAAGGAAGGCAAAGCTATAAGCCAGACCTGTGTCCCCTGCATCTGCCAAAATAAAGGGCCACACTATAAACAAAGCTGTAAGAGGTAAAGTATTCCCTCCCCTTAGCTTCAGCCATATTTTCTACTCACCTGTCATTTTTTCTTCGAAAAAAGCACTCGGGCATGTGAGAAGTCATCACAAAACTTGAAAAAAAGCTGGCTTGCATTTTAAGAACCAGCAGAGGCAAACCTACAGCCTTAGACTCCATGCAAGTGTTTTCTTCATGCTTTTGGAACAGTAACAACAAAGCTTGTAATACAACATTATTGGAGGGTTTTCTGGGTTGTTTTTATAAAATTTGGCAAGATATCACAAAATTACACACCATAAGCTTAGTCTGCACATTTTCCAATGAAAAAAAAAGTGAAATATTTTTAATCTTTTACTTGTATATACAAATTCAATTCAAATTTACATTTGCATCATTTTCCTGAATAGCAAGAGTCATGGATCAAACACAGGGTTGAGATGTGTCACTTCAGCTTATGGAAAGGATGCTGCTTAAATTAGTTGTTAATTTTCACTTAGAGCCTTTTACAGGGGGCCTGTTCTATTTTGTACTGTAACTCTTTTAGCTGCTGGGAAGGCCACTGCTCATGTACTCATTTACAATGCATAATTCATTGAGTTTCACAAGACAATGAAAAAATAATAATAGACTTACTATGACAATTTCTAAGAGCTGACAGCAGTTTGACACTCTGACTTTGGATGGTCATTCTGTTTGGACAACTTCATGGGTTAAGGCATTTGTGCTAGATGTATTTCTCAACAGAGGGCTCTTCTGTAGCTAACTGGTTAGAAAGCTGAAATTCTTCTCATTTTCCCTTGGAAGAAGTAAGTGACCCACTCAGTTTGTGCAGTGTTTTTTAAACGAAAGTAATGAAAGTAAAAGAAATTGCATGATATAAACATATTTTAGCTACAGAAATGAACATATATTTCAATAACTTACGTTCAGTGAAATTGTGCTTAGACCTGTGTGAAATTATCTTACCTTAGTGAGCACAATTTAAGCAGACCTTCATTCAAATATTGTAAAATTAAGAAAAAAAAAAAAAAAAGTTTACAAGGAATACTTTGTTTCCTTCCAAACTAATTTTTATTCCTTGAAATACAGAGGAAAAAAAATCTTAAAAAAAAAAAAAAAAGGATGCCTCTCATGTTAGAGTGCTTTAGTGTGATTCTGTGATCATCATATGAGAATTCAGCTGAAGCTACTTGAATGACCAGCACCAACTGCAGATGCTAGGTGTCAATTTAAGACGCTGAATCAACAGATCCATTTTTCCCTGTATTTTACTGTGGCTTTTTAAGAATCAGTATTGAAAGAAGTATCTGCAAAGCTATCCCAGTTATGTCCACTCAACTCCATACTTAATACTAACTATGGAGACCCCGAAAAAAATAGAAACTATGTCTTTAAATAGAGTCCAGCAGTGCTGTATCATATATAGCTGCACATTCTTGAGTGCACTTTCACACAAAGCATACCTTTATAGTTACAGATTCAAAAGCAAACCAATCACATAGATCTTTCTTTACATTTAAAATTATATGAATACTGTAATTTTTTTGCTTTGGTAAAATACAAACAAAGGGACAAAGAAAGCGCAGTCAGTAAGATGGATATACCATACTTTTTTTTTTTTTTTTTTTTTTTAAGGAACATGAGCTGAAATGTAAGGCATCCCCAAAGTATTTTTATGCATATGCAAGGAATGCAGTTTTTGTAAACAAAAGCTTGGGGAAAGCAATACTGAAGCCAATCAATCTTCCCTAGGACCTTTCTGATGATCCCAAAACCAAGAACAACTCTCCTAGGGTGTTTTGGAACTTAATCCCACGAAAAAGAATGCAGTCCTTTGTCTTCCCATACACTTTTAATCATGTACTAGATGGGCTCACCTTGGAGATCTCCAACTAAAAAGAGCGATGAAAAAGCTGATTCTCAAGGGTTGCGAGGCTTAGTCTATTTTTCCGGTACATCACTTTCTATTGATTTCGTGGCAGCAGTAGGATGGCCTGCTCTGGGTGCTTGCACAGTGTTCCCACTGGTAACGTGCTCCAGCACCGCAGGCTGAGCCACAGGAAATGTTCTACAGGAACGAGCCAGATGTCTGCGATGACCCGAATCCTCACCTGCTGCAGCAAACTGCCTCCTGCCACATTCTTCACTAAACGGAGGCTGAAAATTAACATCAGTACCTTGTTAAGAGTTGTTCTGTGAGGCCAGGTATCTGCCCTTTCCTATGCGTAAGGGAGCAGAAAGGAGCATTCTTTAATTGAGCCTTTAGTTAGGCACAGTAATACTAATAGTTATTCACAACTCACCACTGATACTCTTAAACCTTCCTGGCCATTAAGCTATGAGTGTAAAACATGACAAGTTTAGGACTTCAACACCTTGGAGCACTACATAATAGCCAGTATTTGCCACAATTCCCAGAAAGGAGGGGTGAAGAGGATGACAGCACTGGAGCAGTACATCACAACCCTGTTACAACAAACACAGCAGTACTGCAGTCTGGAATCATGCAGCTCAAGAAATCAGCTGTCAATAAGAAGGTAATGCTGAATTTGGCATGCAAAGGACAATGCCTGTCACAATTCATTGAAGAACTGCTAGGTGTTAATTAATTTGCCAAATTCCTGAAGAGCATAGAAGTAGACAGTCTTAACAGATGACAAATAAACTATGCACTGAGTTGAAAAAACCTTCAAAGTTCTTCCTCAGCACTTCATTTTATTAGACAGTAAAATGTCCTTTTATGTATTTTTGCTATTCACATTATACAATAAAAAGAGAAATTCAGCACTTTTCATATTCTAACCATATTTCAGCTTTGAAAAATAACACCTGAAACAGAACAACACATTTTTCATTTCCATTTAACTTTTTCTAATCAGGCCTTGTAGTGACTTGATGGGATTTGTAAATTTACCTTTTCATGAACTGAAGTACTGTTTTGAAACCGTTTAACTTGAAGTAACGGATTTGCCAAATTACTTAAAATAGGTGTAGAAACTTACATCCACTCTGAAGTCCTCCAGTCTCCTAAATTTACTGAGGTATTCTTGCAGCTTGGGGTCAATGGCTGGTGTCTTGTGCTGAGAATATTTTAGGTAAGCCCAAAACTTTTCCAGTCCATAAAGCTGACCTAATAACAAAAGAAGATAATTTTACCCATTTACAAAGGCTAGACTTAACTAAAAACCTAATTGTTCACCAGTATCTATAAATGAAAGATAAACTAAAGGTGCTCTTAAAAACTACACTAAAACTGAGCTTACTAAACAAGTGAGTGCCAAGGAAAGGGGATTATCTCCCAGCTGAAGTCACCCTGCTGTAAGCAGTGGCTGGCCTATGATAATTACCAGCTTCATAGTCCCTCTTTGTTTCTTCTTGGAAGTCCTTGAATATGTCTCGCCTGAATTTCTTTTCTAGGCCATAGCTGTAAAATCGAAACAAGCATTCCAACCCGTACCTAGAAGAGAAAAAACAGGTATGGGAATCTTAGGACTACACTCTAATTGCTCAAAAGCATGCAAGTTTTCAGTCTCTCCTTGCATTTATGTAAATAGCATAGTCTCATTTTTCCCTTTCCACAAAAAATGCTTCCTTTTACATTCAGTTTTTATTAAACAGTTCTGTTTTCTGAAACACCTTCACAAATAGGCAAAACTAACTTAGGAATATCAGTTTTGTCACACAGCTTCAATTTCTGAACTACAGACTCTATGCACGCCTGCAATTTCAAAATGAATGCTTCTACATTTTCAAGATGTCAAGAGACCCACAGCTCACACACTTCATGAATAACGGCCTCCAATGTTTTTGGACTCTGGTTTCCTTCCATACCCCTCCTGTTTCCTATTAGAGGGAATAAATAACTGACACCAGTCTACCTGCCACTCCCTTCTTCCACTCAATCATAAGCTTCTCAATCATCTACTCTGAGCTGAGGTAAGGTATCTACCTTCATTTTACCTTAGTTGGAAGCATTAAACTTGTTGTCACACTCAACTTTTTCCCAATCCATACTAGCTGAGAAAGTGGGAAAGTCACAAAAAAAGAGCCCTACTGCTAGAAGTTACTACAGTTATTACTGGTTACCTTCCAAGTTTAATGCTTTGTGGACCCACCTGAATTCTTAGCATGCGTGTGTCAAGTCTGCCTTGGGCAGCCAAGTGGAGGTCAAAATAAATTGCTCGCTTTTCTAGGTAAGTGAACTGAGGCCAAAGGATGTTTTAATCCATCTCCCACTACCAAACCAGTCATTGTGTTCCTGTATAACACTGAACTCTTACCATGCAGACACACATCTTTTATCTGAGTGCTGAGGTCATTCATCAGATGACTACAGTATCGCTATGAATATATGAAATTAAGCAATGGTGAGAGCTCCTAAAGTCAAGTTGCATGTAAGTAATCAGTACAACTTTAAGGAACACTTAACAAGGGAAATATTAATGCCAGTAGCACTTGCCTGAAGTATTTTTTAAAGATAAATATACAAAAGTTATTTTTCCAGGAAGGATCTGGATCAGTTTCTCTTTCTGATGTCACGACATGTTACATTTGGCAGACATAAGGACAGCAGAAATGGGACCTCCTTCTGTCAAGCATTTATGTGCTATCCCTTAAGAGCCTTCTGAAGTTTCTCTTGGAAAATACATACTTGGATAATCACAAAAGCATAAAGAAAGCTCTCAACAGGTATAAAATGATGATTAAAACCACCTTTGCATCCCACGGACCTTACACTCTAGAGAGACAACGTATCCAAACGTCATAATTTTTATAAACTTCCTCACTTAGCATTCAATACACTGGGCTACCCTGTGTCTTTGATTAAGAGAAATAGAAGCTGGTGCGCAAAAGAGAAGAAGTGTGTGGGAAGAAGAGAGGGAATACTGAAGAGCTAATGTGGCAGTGGTAATTTTTTCTGCTATTGTAGGAAGACAAGAAATTTGAGGTCAAGAATGGATGAGAAAAATCACAGAAACTTTCTTAAGAGTAGAGCTGACTTGTCAGAGTCAACAAGCTCCATGATTTTGGAGAATTCAGGACCAGCTACAGGTCAGGCAATACCATACACTTAGCTACTTATGTACAAAGCACAAAGTCATACAAACACATATTTGGTGTTAAAACAACTTGCACAGACTGCTGTTTTAAAGATTTACAAAGAGACAAATCTAACAATAGAAATGTTCTCTTAAGATGTACGTAAAAAAAGTACATGTAAAAAAAAAAAGATATATGAAAAAAAACCCACTGTAATTAAAATGACTGGTAAAGACCTCAAGCTTTTTAAAAAAAAAATTTTAAATTTCAGTTTCAAGAAAAAACCTCATACCTGTAGTGTTCTTTTGCATCGTCCAGAGCAAGCTGTCTGAATTCTTCATACATTTTCCTGTTGAAGTGATCTCTCAGGAAAAAGGACCAGAAACGAAAAAGCGTGTTCATTTCCTGGGACTGGCCAATTCCCAACCGTTTCCTCTCTGAAAAGGAAACAAACACACAGGCCCAAATTCTTATATCTTCAACAGACTATTTTCAAGTGCTTTTTCATTAGTAACACTGACATAAGATCTTCAAGAATTTTAATTCTGAACTTTCAAAAGATATTTTCATTAACATTGTTTATTAAGTCTCACAGTCAACTAATTATCATCTCTCAAGGACTCAGTATTTCTTTTAGCAATGAATATTAATACAGAAAAAGTTGCTGGAAAACGTCAAGGATTTTAAGGTTGTTTTTTTTTTGTTGTTGTTTTTTTTTTTTTTGTCAGGGAATTAGAAGTTAAATAGAAAGAAAGTATCATAAAATAAAAGCACCATTTTTCCCCCCAAAAAATGAGGGATCAAGAACAACACGAAGAAAACTGCTATCGAGTGACAACTGGTTATTTCTTGCTAAAAAGTGAGGAAGTACATTAATTGGCTTACCCGTCAGACACCTTCGATGGTACTTATGGTACACCTGTTGTGTGAAGCCATTTTCCTTTAACAGTTCATGAGAAGGATGCTGAAATTTTGGAAGAGAATTTGGAGTACAACCATAACCTCCTGCAAGTGGAGCTCCTTCTGAAAGTGAAGCATTGGAACTGCTGCAAAAGAAACATTTCTGTTCTACAGACAGTGCTTTTCCACAGAATCAGCTTTCAACATTTCAGCTGTATACAAGCACTGTCAGTACAGTATGATCACTCGACATGCACTGTGATGTGTACTTGGATTCCCAGTCATCCCTATTTTTGGGTGCACATCTACTTCTGTGCTATTATCTTTGAAAAGTTTTTGATGCTGCTAACAAAGATTAATATAATACTTGATTTTAAATGACTGCTTAAAGGCAAACAGAGTCAATGACCATCAATGAGCATCAGTACTTCAGGTAACATTAACGAGATCGTATCATGGATCAGCAAAGAACAGAATGAGACTAGGCTAATTAGCTCACGTCTACATGGTCCTACTTCTAAATTCTAGGTTTGTCTCTAGTCCCCATTTACCTTTATTCCATCACTCCCTTTTGCTTCCACTGCATGCAGAAATTCTCAATTAATCGCAGCCTATTTCTGCACCGGTGGTGAGAACAAACGACGCTACAAAAAGAAATTTTAAAAACCAACCAACCAACCCTTACCTCACAGAGGAAGTTCTTGGCCTGTGGTCTCTGGAATCCATCACCCAACCGACATGGCATTCTAAGGGAGGATTTGTACTGTGCCGTGTTTTTCTTTTTCTTGGAGCCTAAGGAAGTAAATGAAGCATTTATTTTCACAATTTGATTTCACTCACTTTTATCCTCCCAAAACAGCATGCTGCCCATTTTATGTTATATCTAACCAAATATAAAGTCACGAGATGCTCCAGCTTCATAACCTTATTAAGCTTATCCTTATGTAACAAGTTTAAAAACTTTAGATGTTACGCTTCTTCATCATGGACTTTAAAGAAATGTTACAGAGAAAAATCAGGAACCACTCTGTAGAAATAAAAAAGGATGAATATGACATTTTTGAAGAAAAACAATTATCAAGTACGATTGTTTCATTTTTGCCTTGACATTCTTATAAATTACATTACACACATGAATTTTATAGGCTTTCCATAGATTTTAAAAGATATTAAGCCTTTCCATTTACCTTCACATCAATGGATTGTGCTTCTTTAACAACGGGGTAGAACCTGGGTGTTTTGTTGGGATCCTGTAGCCTCGGGGTGCGAGGTGTTCGTGGGGTGAAACCGGGGTGAACTCGGGGAGATTCCGGAACTACAGTTGGCAGTGACCGAGCCACTGTTGCTGCTGGAAGTGCTTCAGTACTGAACAAATTACAAACTGGTTCCTCTCCTAAATCAGCAAAAAGGAAAGAAATACTTTATTTTCAAAAGAAAATTGAGCTTTGAAATCTTAAGCTCCTCTAAATACCAAATATCTTAAAGGCATGATTCACTTCAAGTGAACTACATCATCCCCAAAAGGATAACTGAAATAACAAAAAGCACTTGGTGCAGAAGCAGTACTGACTGACTGCTCAAAGCGATGAAATAAACATTTCAAACACGACTTTCTATAAAACCTATATCCTCTCTTTTCTGCTTGTTTTTCTGTATTTACAATGGCAAAGTAAACAAGTGTAAACACATTCTTGTTTTTTGGTTAGGTGCTTTTCTTCAACAACTTTGAAGATAGTAGCATGTACCCCAGTAAATGTTAATAAGATAAGAATTACCCTAAAATGTAATGTTTGGACATTGTGACTTCTTGGTGAAGTTGTGATATGAGTAGAAAATTCTTCCCACTTCCTTCTATTTTCATTTCCCAGAATAATACCAATCTAGAACATGTTTCACCTCCATAGTTATTTTGTAACACAGTGCACATGGCAAGTTACCATACAGCACAGCTAGGTGCTTTTTGCATAACAGAACAGAATGCTACCTATAGATAATCGTGCCTGTTCTGAGAAGTACTACCAGTATCAGCTTCTTCTAACACAACGGAGACTTCCAATACTGATCAAGAACTGACAACTGGAAAATTTGCAAAGAAAAATTCTCTCAGACTGCCGACTGAACAAAATATAAAACATTATACAAGCAGAAAAAGTTAAAATATGTGCTTTGTTATAGAGATTCTAAAATAGAAATACCTGTGTTTCATTGCTTACCTATCTGTAACTCTGAAGAACCCAGACGAAATTCTTGGGAACGATCAGCAATCAGTTCTGGTGTAAGATTATCAAATTCTTCCTTACAAACGAGATTTAGCTTCCTGAAGTTCTCAACCTCTTGCTGAATTAGAGAAAACAAAAAGTGAAAACACAAAACACAATGGCCATCATCTTGAGGAAAGGCTGAATATCCTAAGAGAAAATCAGCAACCTAGAATTCACATACAACTAAACTCAGACAAGCCAGTACAGATCTGGTTAAATGTAAATGGGAGTTCCTAGCTGACATGAACAACACAACTGACACTGAGCTTTCTGCAAGAAACAGTTAGGCCACCACATGGGCACACAGAGGCCAATGGGGCCATGCTCAAGATTTTTTAACAGGGTAAGAAACAGAAATGACTGAGAACCCATCTCTTGCCAAAACCAAAGCAGTCTGCCTTCTGCCTCAAGTCTGACAAGAAAAGCAACTTAGAATGGCAGGAGATGACCTGCTCCCTTCCTCAGGCTACATATGAAGAAATGCCAGTGTTGTAAATGAAACAGTAGCACCTCAAAGCACTCATGCTCCTGCTCAACTGAAGGTAGTGTGGCATGCATGCATGGAATATAAGAAAAAAAAAAACCTCATTTAGGTTATAGCCAAGAACACCACAACAAGAAAATATTTTCTCTTCCTGTGTGCCATTTCTGACTGTCTTGTTCCAATCTGTTGATTTTCTTGGACCATTTTCTTCATAATAAAGATTCCATATTCTGAATCCCACCTTAATTTCCTGCTTTTATTCTCTACATTCATTGCTAACTCTGTCAACTCCCTTTTGTACCCACATGCTTCATTCCCTTAAGTTATTTTCACCCTTTTCCTCCTTCCCATATAACAGACATTTGTCCTTACCAACAGGTAAAGCTCCTTTATCTCATCATTTTAGTCTTTGGGTAACTTTATTCCTATGTGAACCGTATCTGCTATTGATACAGCAGCACTGCCTACAGATAAGCCACTCACTGGGCTCGCTTTCACAAAAAGTGGATTCTTAATAAACCAAAATCAGTAAGTGATAGGACAGTGGTGTTCCCAGTTGACCTCAGCCTATGAAGTGCTGGAGTTTACAGATTACACATCTGTAATTTTATATCTATTTACTGTATGAAAATAAATCAGTAGAAGAAAAACACAAAACTAACAAGCTCCTTCTGAAGTTTTGAAAGCTTAAATGACAGGGGCCTCAAATACAAGCTAGGAAATAAAAGGGTTGCTATAATAAAACAAGGTGTGCAAACCCAAGTACAATTTGCTCACACAGCTGCACATTCTTACAAGCTGCAACCTCTAAATAAACTACTTAAAAATGACTATAATGTCCTCCTCTCTATCTTACATCAAAAATATGTCCTTATACTGCCTCTATACTAGGGTTTTGAAAGTGCTTTTTATGAAACAGGCTACGTATAAAACAAGAAAACACTGGAAAAGTTGAACCATCTCCAAAACATTAAAAATTGTTCTACAAATATCCATTCTGTAATTTTGGTCAAATCTCTGACAAGAGAAAATTTTGCTTTCAACTGTCTACATCATCATGAAAATACACATAATTTACATTTCTACTGAATTCAACTGTCAACTTTCTTTCAAAAATGTCTATCATATCACAGAATCGTAGAATGGCCTGGGTTGAAAAGGACCACAATGATCATCTAGTTTCAACCCCCTGCTATGTGCAGGGCCGCCAACCACCAGACCAGGCTGCCCAGAGCCACATCCACCTGGCTTTGAATGCCTCCAGGGATGGGGCATCCACAGCCTCTCTGGGCAACCTGTTCCAGTGCGTCACCACTCTCTGTGTGAAAAAATTCCCCCTAATATCTAACCTAAACCTCTCTGTCTTTGTTTAAAATTATTCCCCCTTATTCTATCACTAAACACCCTCGTAAACAGTCATTCCCCCTCCTGTTCATAAGCTCCCTTCAAATTTTGAAAGGCCAATAGTTTAGTTGTGCAGCAGACAGCCAAAATAACTTCGGCCCTGTTCACACAGGCACTGTTTAAAGCTTTAAAAAAAAAAAAAAAGAAAGAAAAACTAATTACCATTACTGTAGTGTCATTTTCACTCTGCACTGTCCACAAATCCTGTTCATAATAGTATAAGCCATCATTAATAACTTTAGCAAGTTCTGATGTTATTTTTCCGTGACATACATGGTTACCAGCATGACCTTCACCAGGATGTTTTCTCATATATGGTGGTGTCTGTGTTACTATCAAAATCTTGTTTACATCCTGATCATCAATTTCATAATCTGAACTGCTATCTGACCAATCAGTGAATTTATTCTTATGACCCTGAATTTGTTCCATCTCTTCATCAAACAAAAAGTCAAGTTCTTCTTGTTCTTGTTCCTCTGGAGGTGGGGGTGGCTGTTGTTGGCCTGATACTTGATCAGGTATAGGAACGCATTCCTAAACAAGAAAAGGTGAAGCATTTTATACTTGAAATAGATAATGATCATCCAAGTAAAAGACAAATAGAGCATGACCGAACACTTTCAGTAATGAACATACAGAATTAGAAATGATGCAGTCACTTTAAGATATTTATCAAGCTTAAAAGTAAATTATTATTCTAAGTAATTCAGCATCATGAGATTTTAGAATAATACTCATAGCACAACAGCTTTTCAATAAAGCACATGTACAACTGTCCATCAGCAGAAAAAAAAAAATTACATTTCATTACAGTGAGCTCTGGAGCAGGATTTGAAATGCACTTGGTTATTCTAAGTCTGGATACGGTGAACAGTCCCCACATATATATAATTAATATAATCAAGTATCACATGTATTGAAGTGTGGGAAAAAAAACAAAAACAACTGTTTCATACTATAACTGGAAAGCGGGGAGGTTTTGCATTTGCTTATTTAAATAAAGTTCTTTCTCATTTTACCTTTACTCTGACAGTGGATGCATGATGCCTGTTCTTCACTTCTATCCATGGTTCAGAGTCCAAATCAGGCAAACTTGTAGACAACCCTTTAGATATTGTCTGAAAATTATTTGTTTCAGTGTTTTCCTTCAGACTCAACAAGCTTCCCATTCCTGGAGAACTTGGTGCAGACTCTAACATTGAAAAACAGTAGGTTGTGTTGTTTTTTGTTTGGTTGGTTTTTGCTTTTTTTTTTGCACATGGGACTTTCCTTTAACCTCAGCCACTACTTGCCACCTCTGTGGTTCAAGTTAGCATTGATTAAGCAGAATTTGTTTTCGGTTTAGGAGACCAATTTTCATAGTATTTTAGGAAAATACTAATTTATCAGCTTACTTAAGTTAAAAGTATATAACAGACTCAGAGAAATCCTCTGTTATTCAGAAAACAAGAATTCATTTATTAGAGATACGTTTTCCCCTATACCAGGCACCAGCTCTCCGGATGGCTGCCTAACTCAGTCTTTATTTTTCCCATTTACCTTGAGCCAACATTTTAGTAAAAGATTTACTTGCCAAACACTGTTTGCAAACAAAGCAATCTCTATATTAATAGTGTGAATGAAATACCCATCCAAAACTAGCGTACACAAAATACAGTTAACTTTCAGCTAGTATCAAAATGAAGTAGATTTTATGACTATCTGAAGAGTACTACTGCTTCTGCTGTTGGTAATAAAAAAGGACTCCAGGTCATTACACCTTCTTCTGGAGAATGGTCACAACTATAGCACACAGAAGATCTTTTTATCTACTTCATATTAGCCATATCAGCCGCAACTGTAGAGCTGGCAGGAATATCAGCTGAATAAACCATTACCAAATGCACAATTTCTATTATGAAAACAGTATCAAGAGGCAAATTTCCTCAGCTAGACAGACAGCCCCAAAATTAAGTTTCTATTAAATAAATCCTTTACCAGTATGTGAGCCGTAGACTTGGCCTGGTATGAATTCTGGACAATTGATGAGCTGAGAAAAGTCAGTCGTTGACAGATTACAGGAAGGTGGACCTGGAATTGGCCACTTTTCTGGATCAACCCTTCTTCTTATCCTCTGATCCACAGTTTCAACTTCTGAACTGTCCTTTAGGGCCTGTTGGACAAGCACATTGCAGCTTAAGAAAACATTACATATCCAGCACCTTCTTATGCCCACGGAAGACAGTCAACTCTTTTTGTAGTACTTAAAAAGGGAATTCAAGCTTTTTGTACTCGTTCTTCATAATGACTGTTCTTTCTTCTACTGGTGCAAATAATCTTTTCATTTTCAAGGATAACCATTCATCATCTTTTTTTAATTTCATCAAATATCACTTCCTCCCTCTCCCCAGTCTGCAACCCCTTCCTTGTGAGAGGGCACCAAACCAACTCCTCCCTAGCTCTTCTATCCACAATTCTAGTTCCCCAAAATTAACTCCAACCCCACGCATTTTCTTCTTAATTCTAAGCATAGCTAACAGACAGTACAGAATCAGAGTGGTCAAGACTGGAAAGGACCTCTCAAGATTGTCTAGACCCTCTACTCACATTTGGCTGCAGACACTAAGTAGAAAACTAGCACTAAAGGATTTGGAGAGACCATAGACAGAGAGCTGTGAAACAGAAAGGTCTGCAGTTCAGGCAAGTGAATAACCTGTAGTCCTAGAGATCCTCTACTACAATCATCAATTCTGTTTTAGACTGATGAGGCTCACGTATCAGTAAGCTGCTGAAGTACTAGTCAGCCTCAGAGCCACGAGAAGGACAACATCTCAAGTATGCTTCTGGTCAGATCAGCAATTTACTGCAACAGGTTTCTGTGCTAGCAGCAGAAAAACATCTCCCTGTAGCAGCAGCGTGACAACCACCATCTTAAGGATTAATAGGCAATACTCTGAATGACAAGATCAGTAGAGAGCTGACATTCATCTTTTGAAAGTCAATGAAAATAAAATAGGAGCTAAACAGCAAGTGGATTCTGCAGAACAATTTCTACTTCCTTGCTTGCTGGCAGTGTTTACAATTAAGGCAAGCCTGCTACTGGAAAAGTATCTCTGGACCTGAGGAAAATTATTGCCAGAGAAGAATTCAACATCATTCAGGAACACGTTGTTAAGATCACTTCAGCTTGGCCAAATGTGTTATGCCGTAATTTAAACAGATACTCATTTCAGCCTTCTAAAAAAAAATTTCACCTGGAAGAGAAGGGCATAAAGATCTGTTCCCTTTCAGAAATCTTAAGGCAAAGTGTTCTTATTTTAGTAGAAAAGTAATTCAGCAGCCCAGTTCTCCCACTCAGACTGAAGGCACAAGAACCACTCTCCCTAAAAGTCTTGTAAACTATTAGAAATACCTGGTCCAACTTGGCAAGAGACACTGACCAAACAATAGAATTTGTGCTAACATCCTGAAGATTTTGTCCATCTAACAGTTGCCCTAAATTACAGTAGTGGCAAGCTCAGTGAAAACCCAATCTTGACTACTGAATACTCGAATAATCTCTACAACTCTTTTTGCTCTAAAAAAGAAACAGAGCAAAACAAGCAAAACATATTTGCCGCTCTCACTCCGCACACAGAGATGTGGCTCTCTTGACAGTATTCACATGGAGGCCTGTGATGTGGAACCTTCATAACCTGTAGTTGGTTTTATTTGTTTTAAAACACGTGTCAGGGTATTTCTGCAACTATCCAACTCACTCTAAATACGTGATGATTAGCTTGCAAAGGAATCATCAGAAGTTTCTTCAAAGTACCTGCCTATATTAAGAACACCTATTTGCCATGTTTCAACCTCTCAAAACATAGAATCCTCAAGAAATAACAGAAGATGAGTGACTCTACAAAAGAGAGACTTGCAAGTATATTCTTTAATAGGCTTAATACGCTTCCTAGGTTTTGGCAATATTACAACTTCTCAGCATCAGATAACATCCCCTTTACATTTTCCTCCTTTTGTTTTCTTAAAAGAATGACCTTGGAATGACCCTAAATTTTTTGCTATGTACAAGAACTGTGCTGTATTATGCAACAAGGAGTTCCTATATTATATGCACATGAGAACACCTTGTGAGGGTGTTAAAGACCACATTTCCCTTAACTTCTGACTCAAAACAGGATACCCAAAGTTCAGAAGTGAGTAGGAGTCTGACAAGAAAAACAAAGTAAGCTTAATCTAATGCACTAAATTACTGACCCTACGTCTTTTATATCTTGGATATAATTCTTTGGTTTGTCTACAGATGTAGAGATATCTTCATCTAATTGCTGCCCTTCATCATCTCCCCCTTCTGTAGCCTCACTCTCAGAATGTTTACAAACTGCAGATGAAAACATTTTCTGCAGCATTCTACCCTCAGTTCCAATGGCACTGTGCAAAAATCCATATTAAAAAAAAAAAAAAAAAAAAGCACCAAAACTGTCTACACATATGTTTCTGAAATTATTTTACCTCCAGAATGAGTGTAGCATTTGTAGTCAGAGCTTGTACCCTGTGGAAGCTAGCAATCAATGAAATAGGCAGAAATCCTTGTTGGTCCATCTTTCTCCTCATAAAGAAGTCTCTTTCCAAGTTTTCTGTGCTGAAATAATACTCACTGGACAGAGAAACAAAAAAGATGTATATATGAGCCTATTATAACAGAGTAAACCCTGAAACAGTAGCCAAATTATTCCTTGGTAAAGTCTTCCATTAAAAATAGAGCGGTTTGTAATCAACAACATTATTCTTTCAACAGCTATATTGTTAAAAACAAATCTTTCGGAACAGCATGCATGCATCCTCATCATCTTAGGAATGACTTATAATCCAGTATTGCACACAAGAATACACATCAACCTTTGCATGAGCTGTGTGTGGAAAGATTCTGTTTTTCTTTCACCCATCCCTCCTTATTACTTACATGAACAGATAGAAACAACATTCTCTTAGCCTCCATATAAGATGAAGGACAATTACTGCTCACATCTTATTTCCTGTTCAGCAGTGCAACCTCATCCTGAACTGTACCAGAAACTGGGAAAGGATACATTACAAGATTTATGTGTCCTATCTGAGTGTTGAGGCACATACACGCACTCTGAACCACTACTTGAAGCATGCTTGAGGGAAGATGAGAGAACCAAACCAGTAATCGTGTATTTTTCATGAAACTGTACCAAACAGCACAACAGATCATGGAGAAAGGTAGAGGCTAAATGAATAAATGATACTTAGTTAATAAGGAGAAGATGGACAAGGACCATTTCATGAATCTGACAATGCTACAGAACAAGAGAGACAAGTAACAAAAAAGTTGCAGAAAGACAACATCTTAAACAATGAAGTCGTCGTATGAAACTTTAAGGATGTCAGGATCTTTTATACTTGGTGATGAGAAAAAGCGGAGAATTGAAATTATGATCACACATACAAAGCATGGGAGTAAGAAAACAACCTATGGGAGAGAACAGAAAAAAAATTGTGACTAAAATCTAAGCCTCTAACAGGGTTTGCACATCATTCCATAGTTTAGCATACTACATCCAAGGAATACTACTACTCATCAGGTTCAGGAAAAAATAAGCAGTGAAATGTTTATTCTGTGACTCAAATAGAGGTAGTGCAAAATAAAACAAAAAAGCATTAAAATGCTGAGGAAAAAACACACATGCAAATATAAAGTCTGATTCCAACAATGAATAAAATGCTATACATCTCCACTGAAGCTGGCTCAAGGCTCAAGTCACCAAGAGGAGCGGATTGCAATGCCGTCAGTGAACCAAAGAGAAGCCTGACACCATGTCTTTCTAAAACTTATGGTGGCTAAAAAATTTTTTAAAGCAAAAGCTGTCTACATGAAACACTCAGCTCCAGGACAGAATGAAAACAAAAGCTTCGAAGTTGGACAGTAAGACATATGACAAATGAACACACTGCCGTTAAATTGAAACAAGCAGCTAAGAGAACATAGCTCCTAGAGAATTAAGCTTTTACTTAGATCTGACTAAGTCGATCAGCAAAGCAATTGTGCACAAAGGCTTCTCTCAAGAATATTCTATCTATTGTGCTGAACCAGTGTAACTCTTTTCCCCTAAAAGTCTATAAGATAGACAAGTACAAAAGCCATGTCAATGTTTTCGTAATGGTACCTTTACAGTCATACAGTAAAGGTAAAAATCTTGTAATGATTCACCTAGTTAAAAATTCCACAAGCAGAAATGGACAGTGACTGAACTTGACTCAAACTGCCTCATTTGATGTCCATCATTCTAGAAAAAGGAATTTGAAAGAACATTAATGATAAACAAAGACAATGCACAAGGTTGTTTAAGTAGAGGGACAAATCTAAACACAAACACACACCCTCCAGCTTCACTTTTCTTACTTTCCTCAGAATCTTTTTGTTTATTCTTGAATCAATATAGACTTGGATGCACATCTGAGCTTTTATTTATCTGTTTTTAAGAGAACTTGGAGTTCTACTGTATGTTGCACATTGAGGAGTTTCAAGGCATTGAAACATTCCAGGCTGATTATTTCAGCCCATAATTAAAAGTGGTAATGATATTCTTGTAATATTCCTCTTGCACATCAAGCTGTTTCTTGGGACAGCAAGAAAGCTGTTTCTTGACAGCAGTGTACTTCTTACTGTAATTACAAATCAACTCAGTTGGACACAGCATCTAACATTTTTCCTTATTTATGCAGGTTAACTGTTCTAAAATTCATCAATACACTACAGAAAACAATTTCTCTTCTCTAACACCTCCTCATTTATCTCAGACTCCATAAGGAACTCCAACATCCAACAATTCTGTTCAGCTTTCTTTTGTACATGCCTCCTTCTTTGGCACAATCACTTTAATATTTTAGAACTCAATTACAAAAGGCAGACCAAACCACCTCCATGGATGAGTTAATGACACTGATGAACATCACTGTAGCTGATGAATAAAGTTGGTTTCCCATCATTTTTGTGTGATATAAGAAATGAATAATAAAACAACTTTTTTTTTTTTTTTTTTTTTTTTTTAAAGGAGCACAAAAACGGTAAAGGTATATTCTAAACCTACTCAAGAATCTCTCTCTCTTGAAAAGCAAATTCCATAATCCAAATGCCTTGGGAGACTATATCAGACAAGCAACCAATGGCAATGATTAGCCAGCTATGCTGTCTTTCATGGACACCTGCCAACCTCTTTTTGCTAAAATAAGACACAAATATAACCAGAAGTCAGATGTGACCAATGCTGCAACTGACATTTTTCTCACCAAAGGGGGACATCATCATGTCCTACCTTAGAAGGTCTGGATTCTACACTGCATGCCCAGAAATCTGGCCAACAGTGGAGTGTCTGTGCTCCTCCCTCACTTGTCTGAGGACAGTGCAGGCCGATTATCCTGACATGGGGGTACATGTCCACTGTCAGGTGTCATAGGGGCCTGGTAGCAAGAGTAACAAAAAAGACTGCAATAGAAGTTTTGAAGTTGATAGTCACATGCCAGATACTTTCTGCCCTTATACAGGCTTTTTTCTTCCTTTTTTTCGACAACTGTAACAAAAGAAGCAAGAATAAAATAAGCAAGTTGCTTTATGGAATACAAGGGCAATAAAAAACCACCACACAGGCATCATGGGGAAATGCCATTACAAGTACAGAAGATGAAATATCTGCCAGTGGTGGAAACTGTCTCTTTAAAATGAACTAGTGGTTTCCAGACCCTTTTGACATGTCTCCTGTTGAAAATCAGTCTTCCAGATGGTTTCTCATTCCTAATGGTATACATGAGAAAGTAAACATTTCAGATTACTAGAAAATCAAGTATCATTGCAAAACTACTCTTTCATTGAATGTTCCAAGTGAAACACTCTGAAAACATAAAACTAACAAGAACACTCAAAGTGAAATCGAGAGCAAATAAGGGAAACCTCTAGCTGCACCACCCAAGAAGAGCTTTATAAGCAAACAGACCAATGGTACTGAAAAACACAAGCTCAGAGACATCCATATCTCAATTACATGACAACATAAAAAAGGGCTATGTACCATAAATAAAGAAGGTATATGAGTTAGAGCCACGCTACAGCACAAGATGCAGAACAGCTGCCTTAAAATTCCTCCCCATCGCTCATGGCTTTTCACCCCATTTGTGAGTAAGTTCAAACAGACACTGGTAACGGTCAAATCAAAACCAAGTTGAAATGTCTTCATCCCCACCATTTTATGGGTAATAACTCATTCCAAAGAGTGTTTAATCCTTTTATTAAATGATCTTTCAAAATATTTGCATACTAAACAGTCTACTTACATTTGACGTTTTATATATTCTTTCAGAAGAACTTCATCCACAGAATACATCTGCACTCCTGTTCCATCATCGTAGTAATACGTCATACTAGAGTTAAGCTCAGGTAGAAATGCTTGGTCAGTTATTTCACCATACAGTTCTTGATAACCAACTGAATAGTCAAAGTTCCCTTCAAAATGCAGGTGAAAATAAAAATTAATTCAGTCTGGTACAAACATATTTTAAGACATAAACATAACAAGCACACAACTTCATGATTGGCTTTCAATGTCTGATTTGAAAGAAACAGAAATCCCACAAACTACTTGAAAGTATCAAGCTACAGGATATGTACCTTGAGATAACCCTAACTTCATATGAGAACATCAACATTACAAATATAGCTTAAAAAATAGATGCCACTCATCTATTTCTTTGCATACTTCTAGGATTTCCTCTGCTTCGTCCTCTTCCTTTGCCTCTGCCTCTTCCTCTGCCTCTGGAGAATTCTCGAACACTGCCACCCTCACTTCTCACACTGCACACTTCATCGTGATCGTCTCTCTTTTCTCTATCACGATGCCAATCTTTAAAAGAAAAAAAAAATCACACAATCATAATTAAACCTCACAGTGAAATTAATTAGTCTCCGATTCATTCCTAGATATTAACGTTAAAAAACAGCACAGAAAAGCACTCTCTACTTTTTGGATACTCTGAAACGTTGAAGGAAATGAAACTGCTGAAGAAAGGTTTGTATAGCAGTGCCTAGGTGTGAATGGGGAGGAGCTGCTAGCAATAACGAGCAAATGAGCTGACTGGCAGTCAGTCTCAAATGCTTCCGAAGCAACTGGACACTCATGCCAACTCAGGGATCACAATATATGCAGTAAGTCCAGGATAGGAATGCATCATCATGCCGTTCTCCTTTGAGGCATGGTAATAACTCTCCGCTCCTGTGGACAACTCCCAGTAGTTACAGAGAGCTACACAGGGCTGCTAGCTCTTGATAATTCTGCTCTGGGGAAGATTTCCAAGGCCCCCTGGAACCTCCCTTTTGTTCCCAGAAGCAGACATTTACCACTCCCCTGACTCAGCTTTTTAAACAGCAATATCTTATTCTCTATTGATCTTCCCCTAAACGGAGCTTTTAACTTAAGAATCCCTTTTTGATAACACAGGTAAATCTAAGCTCTGTAAAATCATCCCCGTATTCCAGGGAACTCCTTTGTTAGAAGAATGGCTGGGTGTACAAACCTCATCTGATGTCTCTGAGATCTGCTAACTTCAACATAGGGCTGACTAAAGACACTTTTTAAAATTCCTATTAGAAATCCCGCTTTACTAGCAATTATCTTAAAGAAACCCTGCAACCTAATCTGTATGCTTGTACATTCAAGTTTCTGTATTCTATCTTCTGTCAAATAATAACTTGAATTTACAAATGTCCTAGTCAGTACATGTCTTTCTCTATGGGAATTTGGACCTCAGCCTCTTAGAGATTCCAAATGTGGCATTAGTTGAAGTATTTCCCCTAGCCAGTTTCATTTTTGCACTGTGTACACACAGCTCCTAGGCACATGCAAAAGCCCTACAAATAACACATCCAAGAGTAACTGTTATATTTAAGCCTGACACAGGTTTGGTATGTTTGTTTGAATTTAAATAACCAATATTTCCAAAGAACAGAAGAGGTTTTATGCTCTCTCACCCTGAAATTCATCTTAAGCGATCATAGCCTTGATGTAAAGTTTACACTAGAAGTTTGTGGTTGTTTGACCATGGGGCTCCTGAGGAATAATTGCTGGAGTAAAGTGAAGCACTAGTAAAAATCCTTGCCCTGCCCCTTTCTGTTCCTCAGACATCCAGATAAAACCCTTGTATCAGTGTTTCTAAAATGACTTCAAAAACAAAACTCATCTCAGTGGTGTCCAGCACTTATTATTATAGGGAATTAACACTTGAATTGTTAATGCAAATCACAATTCAGAAACTTAAATGCAAATATACAAACCATAGAGTTAGAGTCAGCCTGAGATCTCTACTTCCTGACAAGCTGTATTTAGAACACCTGAGGACCAAAGGCAGTACCAGCTACGGTGCACTGTACTCTCTGTTGTGCTAGTACAGCTTTTTGCATGGCCATGCTGAGAAATATACTGGAGAAGTGAACGCAAAAGAAGAGAACAGTACCAGAAGAATTGCCAATGCAGAATTCAAAGCGTCCCACAAGCAACTGCTCTGGCCGCAACAAACCGCAGGAACAGGAGTAGAGCAGGACAGAGCAACCTTTTAAAGAACATTATCAGACTTTCTGCACTGTGAAACTGTAGCCCAACACATAGTCGTTAGCCATCAGAAGAACACACGGCTCTGAACCAGCACAGACTGTAAAAATAGACTGTTACCAAGCTCTTTTACTCAAAGAGTCATTGACTGAGATGTTACAATTCTGATGAATATGTGAAGAATTAAAAAATAATTATCTAATATAACGTTTTAAACAAGACTTTCCAGTTTAAAACTTGAAGATTACACTACGGTACAATTCATTTATTTTTATGAATTACTGGCAAATATTAACACTATTCTTTTGTTTTGGTTTGTATTTTAGTACTGGAAAAGTCAAGTTTCAACATCAACTGCCAAACTAATGCCTACTCACGTGGTTTCACCCATCAGAGAAAAAAAAGAAGGGCAACGTAGCACTCCCAATGTTCTGGTTAACTTTGACTGGACTTACGCTAACAGCCAAGAGGTTTTAAGTCACACTTCATTTGCTACAAACAGGAAGACCCAAAGAGATTGAAAACTACTTACTTCTTGTGTCATTCCGCCTGTTGTTATGAAGTATTAACTTGCTTGTTTCCAGCTGAGATCTTGAGCTACTTCGAGAGCTTGATCTTTCTTGACTATCTGACCTTACATCATCCAAGTGAAGTGGAACCCATTTTTGCTTGTTACCTGAAGAAGTTAACAACTTTCTCTTAATTATGATATTGCTTGAAGTTTCAAATTCCATTTAAGATTCTATTTAAGACTGCTTTTAAAATTGTAAATAACAGTAAATTCCCATGTGAAAAAAACTAGGAGAAGCAGCTTAAATACCAATTGTATTTTTAAGATGTAAGAAATGATTGAACAACAACAGATGCAGTAAGCAAGAACTTCTCAAAATGAATGATAACCTTATAATAAGTAAATGAAGGTGAGCTTTCTAATTTTTAGACGTATGCATGCTCCATAAGTATACAGTTAAATACATACACTAAATTCATTATTAAATAATTTCTCAATCTGCACATGAAACGTTATGTAAAAAATAGCATGTCAGGTTAATTACTGAAATAAAGATTATAATCACTAGCCATACAAAACTTCCTGAGAATTTTGCTGTGGTACAGCAGTTTTACATCAAGACATTCAGATTAAATTCATTTCTGTGCATCAAAAACAGTAAGCAAAGCGGTACCTTGCTGAAGGCTGGCCTGAACTTCTACTGGCCATTTACTTAGTGATAATATTCACTGTTCTACTCTTGATTGATATTGTGAACTTTGTAACACATAACACTCATAATCCACATTAGAGGGGAAAAAAAAACAAGTTTGTTCCTGTGGTATGCTTTGCTTTGTACTTTAACTTAGATTAAAAAAATTAAAAGCACTACAGGATTTTATTTTTTAATATACAAACAGCAAGATTAACAAAGGTCTTTAGTATCTAAAGAACTATCAGCAAGGAATCAAGAAATAAAGCAGTTGATGGCAGCAATATTATAAAGCTACCTCAGTTCTGTCTTCATTTCACTCAAGTTTACTGACTAAGAAAAACAATTGCTTCCTATTTTTAATGTAACATATTGGATCGAGGGGAAACAACAAATCTGGTTTAGTTCTCAAGCGATACTTCAAGGTGTAAGCTAGTATCAAAATATGAAAATTAAAATGATGCCACCTACAGTGCTATGCATGCACATATGTGTATGAAATTAAATGAACATAGTTCTAACTATTCAATGAATAAAAATACGAAAGATGATAATCAAATGAAACCACAATTTTCCAGTGATTTTCTGTCAGAGCTCCATATAACCATCAGCAAGACATGAATTGCTTATTCTCCAGAATTCCTATTTGATTAAATAGGACACTCTGAAATCTGAGAGAGGAGGCCAGTTTTCATCTTCCTAACACAATGTATCCTGTTATTACCTAAAAAATGAAAGACAAAATGTTCCATCAGGTCATTCAATTGGAATTAACATAAATGTATCAACAATTAATTACTGCATTATACTTAGTATCCAGACAAACCTTTTTTCCTTTGGTTGTTAGTTTGACCTTCATCTTCACTAATGTTATCTCCTGGACCATTTGGGTTAGCCTCCAGGTTGTCCTTGGTTCCATTATCGCCTTTTTGATCAAATTTCTCCTCCTTTTCTTTTCTATTTGTTGGCTTCTTACTGTAACTTACAGACTTGCACTGAAAAAAATACTGGTAATTATTCCTGACAGCAAAGTTGGTGATAGCAAAAGATAAATTTCTTTCACCTATTAAAATTCCTTTACTATTAGCTGTTCTTGAAATCTTCAGGATGGTGAGATTTAACAACTATGTTGCTTTGTGAAGACTTTTTTAAAAAAATAACTGTTTTCTGCTAGTCTAGCAAGACTATGAAAACAATACTTTAAAAGGAACAGGGTCTGGTTTGCTTTTTAACATGAAGATGCAAAGCTACAGAACGTACAACACTCACATTTCAATACCTCAAAACTGAATTTCATACTACAGGAAAGAAAGAAACATTATGTACTTACTGGTATCTACTGTTAAGACTGATTGACTTTTAAAAGCTCTATTCACACAACTGTGAATGCACAGCATTGTGTGATTTTTTGATTTACCAATCTCAGCTGTCCATGTAAACTATAAGGAGCCACAGCTCTTAACTCTGTCAAATCTATTTCATTAAATCAGAACATGAGCCAAAAACAGATGTGGAGCTGTATGATTAGATTCACACCCCCCCTCCCCCCCCCCCCCCAAAATTAGAATATAGCATTTACTTAGAACTGTTTGCATTTTAGTAGTGCCAACATGCTGCAAATCATCATTTCTTGGAAATCCCATAGAACAGCAAGCTTCAAAGAACATGAAGCAAACAGCATTTCACTAAATAGTGGAAAACGTCATGTGAAGTTGGTATGATATCTTCACGCAAAATTCAACCTTACAACCATTTTTGCCAAACTGAAGTTCTCCTATCTTGTGGAGACTGCTTTGAACTTGCTGGAATGCATACAGTAGATATGGCAGTACTATCCCCATAATTACTTTGAATACAAAATCTTCTCCTAAACAAATCAACCGAGATAAAATACAAACTGATTGTTTGGTATAACAGACACTACATGAATTTCTGTGATTAAATTCTCACGTATTGAAGCCAACAGAAGTTTAATTAACATTCATGCAATACAATCTAGACCATTTGGGAAAGCAAAAAATCTTTATTAAAAAAAAAAAAAAAAAAATACTCCTGAAAAAGACTACTTCAGAAAACATCAGACATTTGTGTTTTTGTCTCAGCCGCTCTGATTAGTACTGTACAGAAATCATCAGTCACACTAAATTTCACACAACCGGCAGATGTTAAAGCACTGTGCTACTGCAGAATACAAAAGATATGGGTGTATGCTTTCCAGACACTCCCAAAAAAAGGAGATGGTAAAATAAGCATACTGTAGACTTAGATCAGCATTAACATTTGAAAGTATTATTAAAAGATATAAAATGTAATTCTTTGAATGCTATTCAATCTGGCAGAACTAAGCTCGGTAGACCCTCTCCTTTTCTGAGAATCAGAACACTTATGGTATGGAATTTATTTTTGTAAGCATTATTATAGAACTTAATTGCACTATAGAGCCTCCTACATCTCATGTATTACAAGAGGTGTATCTGAAAAATTACAAATAAGAAGCATTCCATAGTGAAATAGAAAGAGTAATCTTCAGGAATGGCATTTTTGAGTCATTAGACTGTGACAAATGAAGAGGATGCACCTTTTGCATCAAAGGTATAAAATGCACAGATGAAACTGCTTCTAGTTTTATGAATCAAACAGGAGTTTGATGCCCAGCGAATGTTATCCAGTAAATTAGCAGTCTTAGAGGGCGAGTCTATCAACACGCCTGCCTCGTATTGTTAAATATATCACCACTGCTCCCCTGAGCAGAATTGGAGCAGCAGCATCTCAACAACTGGCACGAATGTTAGTGACAGAACTTATCAATGCTAAAGAGAAGTTAAATCAAGGATCTTATATAAATCCTGCACCTTAGTGGCACGTACGCCTCCACTAAAATATTTCAGCTGGTATTTCAGTAACTGAATAACCATTAATTTATCTGCATGTAATCTGTTCAGGTTTTAAAAATTCTTCTAGAAACATCAAAGATTTTCTCTGTACAAAAAGCTACTCGAAGAGGCAAATTCTACCTAGAAGAAAACATAGTGCTGCGTCAAATGTACAGACATCTAGAAGTTTGACCTGCAACGTGAAAGGCCTGGTGAGAAACCTGAGGATGTTTAGTTGCTGACATAAACAATAAAGATAAGACTTGATTAGGGGAAAGGGAAGGTGTTAGAATCTGAGCCCACAGGACAAACGACTCATACTGAACTACCTTAATATGCTTTTTTTCAGCGTCTACTTGGATGTTTTGAATTATACAACACACAGTGCTGAATCCAAATCTTCTGGTTTCCCTCACCATGAAAAAGCAGAAAAATCAGAGATGCTCTGCTAGGACTAAAGGACAGAGTGAAACAGCACCAGATATACAGGAATTGCCTACACTCTGTTGCTTGAAATAACGTAACACAAAAGAGGTCTGAGATAGCATGCACGTATCACTTGAGATATTGTAAAATAAAGAATTTGATGACATTGGCAATAGGAAAATAAATCCTTTCTCCATCCCCATTCCTCTGATAACTCCCAGGACACCTATGCATAGAACAGTTTGAGGACAAGAGAGTGGAACGTGCTCACAGTCCGAAAAATTACAGGTCTGTGGCTGTTTATAAACCTCTCAAAGAACAGAAAAGGGAAATAAAAGAAAAACATGGCGGATTAAATACAGCACTTTTTTACTCTGCGTGTTCACACAGGCAAAGCTAGAAAGAGTGCGTGTGTGCATGCTTGTGAAGGGTTCAGACATTCTTGTATTAGGATAGACAGTTATGCACAGCCCAGCATTTGGAATTATTATTATATATATATAACATATAATATTATTATTATTATAATATACAAAGTCTAGAATATGGCAACCACATTAATCACAGAAGGCCACGTGATTCTTAATAAAATAGTACTGCAGATAACAATAAATACTTACTTCATTGTTTGCTGTTTCACTTGGTGTTGGCCAGTCTCCAATATCAACGAAATCACCAGCCTGCAAAGACAGTCAGTTTGTGTTACTTCCTAGATCTAGCCCCTTTTAAAACATGGAAGATGACTGTCTTGACTTTGATGACAAGACTATCCCCATTTGAACAAAGCTGTTAGAATTAGCAATTCTTAAAAGCTGAAAAATACACAAAATAAATAAGCAGCTATTTTAAACAGAATAGATTGACAGCAGAAGTAACCAATCTTTGCAATTACATCCAAAACGAGGTAAAACACATCTTACCTACCATGTGATAGCAACTAAAGAATGCCTTCACTCAGAACATGTAAGTGGACATGGCCAAATAAAGATGATAAGCAAGCAAAATTGTTAGAACAGACTAATGAGTTCAGTCTGAAGTATAGAAAGAAACACGTTCAAGGCTAATTGTTGTCTTACAGATGGCTCCCTACTTGCTTTAAAGGTATCTTCCCCTTTAAACAGCTTTTAGCATTTGGAAGACCTTTGAGCACTAGTTTTACTCAATCTAAGAAGGCGTGGCTACACAAAATGTTAGAAATTTAACTCTTCAGTAAGAAGATTCAACGTCTCTCCTGCCATAGTAATTTTACAACAAAAAATGAAGTACACTCATTATTAACATAATACAGAAATAGCATTTCCAAAACCAACCTACCATTCCACATTCTCAAATTACATTGTTTCATAATAGCCCCTTCCCATTTTATATAATCTTGTGACTTGTTCAAACCCCCTTGTACACACACCACTTTAGTTTTCTAATTTCAATTTTCTTGTCCTTTTTTCTTTTAAACCTTTTTCTGTCTTCAAAATTAACCATTGTCAAACTATAAGAAGATGAAGTAGAAGTTTCTGTTCTTAACTTCAAAATATCTTGCCTTTTTTCCTTTTTTAACAGCAGCAGCTGTTTGCTACTGTCAATATTCACAATCAGAAATATTTCCTTGAAACGATTTCATTTTCCTACTGTATTATCAGCAGCGCTAAATGCCAGTTTAGATAAGCAGGTTACATTAACTGGGACTTCTAATTCAAGCAGTCCACTAACTCCAAGCTAAATGTTCTTCTGGAAAATACAAACCTTGCTGCATTTCCTCGTCCTGGCTTTCGTGGCTTTTACATGTTTAGTGGAATTCTCTAGTTCTGAAAAAGAACAACAGCAAAAAATACTTTCAGGTGATGTAATAAGTTGTGCTTACGAAGCACAAAGTATGTTTTCACGATTTCTTTGCTACCTAGCATATTACACCAATGTTTTTTTAAGTGAAGTGGTATTGAAGCCAATGAACATTCCTAAATGTAATTACTACAAGAGTATTACCACAAGATAGCTAATATGACATATGACATTGAAAAACTCACAACAAGTGTAAATAGCCTCAAAAAAAAAAAACAGGTGAACAGAATATTACATCACAGCATGTAAGCATTTGATGAGCTACAATGCCAAGCCTATCGCATTGGTATCGCAATCATTGGTATTTTAATTCAGGTATGAGCAAAAATGAGATCCCAAACAAACAGATACCCAAATATTAGAAGCTATGTTTAAATCATGTGATTCATTTAAGAAATTTACCTTTACATGAGCATGAAAAAAAAGCTGTTACACATTGGCAAATTCTTAGTAATTTCAATTCATAAGCAATCACGCAACTGCTAAACAAGTGAGCCACACTGGTCAGAAACAAATCAAAGCAACAGAACAAAAAATAAAAGGAAAGGTGCAAAGACAAAATAAATGTAAGGTTGGTACTGATACATTTTTACATTCAGATTCCGCAAGTTACAAAACCTGTTTATGATAAATGTAACTAGCTGCCAGAAAGCTGATAGTCAGACATTTTCAGAACCACCCTACGAGAAGACCTAACCTTCATAATAACAATACTCCTCCTGAGCAACAGTGCCCATTTGAAGTCATTATGCCCTTTAATATAGATGCAATTTCCATTCTGCACATGAACACAATTTTCTCACTTTCCTCCCATTTAATTGCACTCTAGCTTTTTTTGTTGAGTATTCAAGGGGAAAAAACCCCAACTCAATAGCAACAGAACTATTACCAGATAACTTCTCCTGGGAGAGTAGGTCCAGACAGATAAAGTCACCTTTTAGTTTCTCCTACCTTCGTTCTGTTCTCAATATGCACATTTTTTTAATTACATTCTTCCAGTTGCCTTAGTTTCACTCTCACTGTGTTTTCTCTCCCATAGAGAAGCAGCTACAACCTTTAATGGAAAAGTTTTTTTCAGCCTTTTACTGAAAGTCAAGCTCAAACCATTGAGCATGGCTGAAATCACTAGGGGATTATTAGTTCCTTGAGGATAACATCATCTCCTCAGCCCTTATCTCTCTGGCATCCACTGACTTCGCTAATCTTCCTTACTGCAGCTTCACCCTGGGAACCCCACCCTTATGCCCAGTGCACATAATGAATGTATGATCCCAATTTTTACTTACCATTCAGAAGTAAACTGCCACTCTCTATGAAATTAGGCAAAAAAAGGTTGCAGTCATGTAGCAACAAGCTAATTTGTGCCAACAACAAAGCTGCCAATTGCCCACCACAGCAAACTGACCATAGTGTTTGCTCTCTGAACAGAGCTCTCCTTTAGCTGTTTGGTTACCTTACTAGAGAGCTTTTTCACCTCACAGCACTTCTACTTAAATTGCTACCCAAGGACTGCTTTGTCACAACTTCTCTCACTGCATCCTTGGTAAAGCAAGGAATTAAACAGAAAAAAAGCCAACTTGGCTTCACTGCAGTGCTTAGTCATAGGATATTATTCAAGGCAGCAACAGAGGCCACCTTCAATCAAGTAAAATGAGACCCAACTTGTTTTGTAGGTAACCTTTCTTATCTGTTTATAAATCTAACATGTAGTAATCTAAGACTTAAAAGATATATTTGCACACTAAGTGAAAAGAAAATTAACATCAGGCAACAACATTGCCTGGCTGATCGTGCCCATGCTGAGCAAGAGCTCCTCCAGGTTTCCAGGGTCTCTTTCGGACCCAGATGTAACTGAGCTCTCCTGGCCAGCCAGCTTATCATCTGGGAGCTGGATTTTGGTGTGAAGCATGAAAGAGAAGATAAGGGGTGGGGGGAGGAGGGTGAGAGTGAAAGTACAAAACACGGGCTCCCTTAAAAGTTTCACCTCAATCATGTCTGTCACATTCTCATGGAGTACAGCCTCCAGGACACAGACAAAGCTCATTCTACCATACATTTAGATAAAAGCTCCATGCTGAATGTTAACCCAGCCTTTGGTTTCAGAATCATGTAACAGCGCTGACTACCAGAAATGGTATCTTCACTTTATGGCCACAGCAGAAGCCAGCAGCCCCTGAAAATATACAGCTGTCTGCAATTTACCTGTTGGGTTTTGGCTGAACTTTGAAGGAGTGGGCTGAAAGAAAAATCAATCAAGGATGAGCAAGTTTAATTGCTAACAATCAGAATTCAATCAGTGAATGCCAGTGAAGATTCCATCCACACGAAAACTGAAATAACCTTTCAAAGCCATTTTAAAAATGGTTCAAGTATTTTCATACATCACATTCTAACACAAGGTATCTTCTGTAGAAAGACAAGGATGTGCCAATGTGTCAAGTGCAGTATTTCAAGGTATGAGACAACAGTTCGCAAGAGACAAAAGACAAATTGCATAACAACAGCAATCCTCAAGCAGTAGCAAAGAAAGGGTGAAACCAGATGCTGTGCAGAGGTAGAGGAGCAAACTTTACACATAAAGATGCATCACCAAAGTATCACCAACTATAAGGCAAATTAGATTTATTTTAGCCTATTTATTTTATAAACCCTTTATTTATTTTAACAAATAAATGTCTTGCAAATGTGACAAAATAATCCCTTGGAACATGCGCTAGTTTAAATTTAAAGCATGAGTTTATGGTCCAAGATTCTTGGAAATTAAAGAACAGTCATCTATGCTAACATCCTTTCCTACAGTAGTTGAAGCATTTTATAGCAAAACAGCATTAGTTGGACCAACTTCCTCACGCTACTTGAACAAACCAAGGCACTGCATCATGTCACCAGCATCCTTCCACATGTTTATAGTCAGAATCAGCTTTTCAGTGTAACAAGTGCTGAACAATCAATAGAAAAAAAGACCCCAACATATGATGCGTTCATCATTACACTTCTTAACCTCTGCTTCATTTCTACTATTATTGGGTTATTAGCTGCTTCATAGAAAGTTACAACCTGTGGCTCAGTTTCTACAAAAGCTCTCCCGCTGAAGCACCAGCACGTGCCAGAGCACAGCCAGGTCTGCATGGAGGCTCTAGGCAGCAGGATGCATTTCTCTCTCCTAACAGTCTCCAGTTTAGTAACCAAAAATACCATACCATGCAAACAGATGTATGCTGTGTTCTATGCGCTGTCATAGGTCTGGAAAACACAGACAGCAGATTTGAGAATGCTTTTACTCCCTCCAGGGGTCGGATAATTGCTGATGCTGTATCTCTTGATCAAAACTGTAAAGTCTGTTATCCTTAATAACACAGGACACCTTTACTAAGCTGTACCTGCAACAACTGCTTATTAACAGACCATTGCTAATCAATATCACACGAGTCAGTTTCTGCTACTGAAACATCAACCAGATGAAGGCAGTCCTCAATGTCCAGAAATCAATGGAGTGAAGAATGACAAATTGAGCAAAATATGAAAGACTAAAGCATGCAGTTACTTTCATTAACTACAATATCAAAGAACACTAGGAAGCAAACTCACCACAGATATTTTGCTTTAAAGAGTACTTCCATAAACTTCATGGACTGTTCTAGAGCAATTACCTAATGACTCATTAGAGTTCAGGATCAGCTATACAGACCACAGAACTTGTTGTTTGGGTTCCCTTTTAGAAGCTAATAAAAAAAGGCAGTATTTCATCAAAGAGGTGGGAAAACTTTTGAATAAAATCAGTTCAACAACTCCAAGCTGGGAATTATGTAAGTGGAGGAAGGGTAACTAACCTCTTTTGGGAGAGCCTGGCTCCAAGGGCAGGCTAAGATAAAACAAAATTCAAAGGAAAGGCAAGGAAAACTGGAATAATGCTGGGTTGCTACACAGCCTCGGTAGCGACACATCTCCTTGGCTCCATTTAAAACAAAACTTATCTTGTTACCTGGTAAAAAATGGTTATCAACATGATTACACGGCATTTCCTCCTTGCAGCGTTCCTCTCTTAATTACCGAGATTCAACTTGAAGAAATGAAGACGCAGTGAAAGCTCAGCAGTACAGGAGAAGCAGGGAGGAAGGTGTGTGCTGCAAGAACAGCCTTTAACCATGGGCAGCCCCTGCCAAAGCTGCCTTCCTGTACCACAGATCCTGGAGTTAGATAGGAACCCATGAACTTTACTGGCAATTCCATCTTGCTACCCGTCTTTCTCCATGAATTAACTGCAGATTAGCAGCATCCGTTGTATCATTTTGAAATTGTTCTACTTACGAGTTTAATAAAAGGCTTACTTCAAAACACCCAACTATAGTAACAAACACACCATAAAAACATCAAGTATGTTCATATGAGGTGTTTGGTTTACCACCATGTTATTAAAACCTACTGACATACACGACACCCAAAATTAAAAGATAACAATGCTTGGACAGAACTCTTTCACCAGGAAAGACTTTTAAGCTTTTTCCATTACTTTTTCCTTCTATTGTCTGTCCAGTGATTTAGCAGTTGCCTTCAAAAGGAGTTGGTTCTGCCTGTGGTACAGATGAGTAACACCACAGTGCATGACTGCCTGAAAGCAGCCCTTCTTGGAGTGTAACTATCACTGAGCACGGCGCCGTACATGCATGTGTCAGGAAACTTTCAACAAATTAGGCCAAGATTAACGAGTTGAACAGGATTCAGCTGCTACTTTGATGCGAGATTCTTTTCCGTTTTGTTATCCCCTGTATGAATGGTTTTACATTCCAATCCAGCAGTGCTTCTGCTCACCTACTTACTATTTCACATGCGCAATTTCCATACTACCACACTTACAAGAGCCTAGTGCGACTGACGCTGCTGTCAATTCACTGCTTCAGAACACAATTCCTGTGGATGGGGGCACACACACAGTCAAGCCCTGCTGGATCAGCCACTCCAAAGCTCACTCCAAAGCTCCCGGTGGCAGTCACACCGCAGCACACCCCTCCTCACATGCCTTTTACTGGTACCACTGCCACCAGCAACTCCTCTATTTGTTGAATTCTGCCACTGAATAAGATACTCCAGTGCAACAGCTCGGTTAGGTGGTAATTTCATAAGTAATAACTTCCGCACAGATGAAAAAGTTTAAAGCTCTCTGAAATAATCAAACTTAACACATAGCATACGGTGGCGCATGAACTCCACACCTCCATTCTCTCTTCCCCCAACAACTATTTTTGTTCTGCCTTAAGCGGGAAACAAAACCTCAGCAAAGAGCAGCATTTCCAGCACAGGCCTGACCAGGCCCACGAGGCATTACTGTACTGCTGTATTACTATTGGGACTGCCCCAGCAGCTCAGGCAGGTGACGAGCTCCCTGTCATGTACGGGCAGGACTGCAGCTGCAGCACAGCACTGGGACGCTAAGTCGGCATTTACGAGTGCGTCAGTACACACAGACAGCACAGCCCCACGGTACTGATGGCACACGTGCTGCCAAAAGGTTTCATCTTCATTTTAGTAAAAGTTCTGTAGTCTAGAGAGCATTTCTGTCTGCCTGCATATGTCTGCTTGAAACTGTCAAGGGATACATTTCTCTTCGTGAGGGAGGCACACAATTAATTCCAGGATAAAAGAGACCAGGAGAACACAAGTGGGGCTGTCAGGAGCCCTCAGGAGCACAGGCTGGAGCACAAGGAGCACACGCCGGGCTAAATATGTGAGGCTGGCAGCTGCTTCAGGCTGACAGCAGCACTCCAAGAAGTGCTGACTTCGAGGAACTCCACAGGGGCCCAAAGCTAACGCTGGGCAATTTCAGCCAGGTCTGCAGCCCGCGGTCCGTATGGAGCTCTCACACAGCTTTATTTTACATTTGGGGTAATTAAAGGCCAGCAAATTGTACCAAGCTGCCCATCTTGGTCTCCATTTCTTCCCACAGAAGCAGCCTGAACCGTCAGCACGAGCGAGCTGACTACAGCTGTTAATACTAAGGCCTTTGCAAGCCCAACCTTCTAAAAAGCAAAACTCAGGAGCGAACCGAACGGGGAAATTGTATAAATAGGTAAAAACAAAATAAAACAACTAACCAAAGAAAAACAGAAACAAAGAGCTGACCTACAGGAAAGCAGCGGGGATTCAGCAACGCTCCTACATGTCAGCAGCACCGCACGGGCGGCTCAGCGCTCCGCTCGCGGTGCCGGGCCTGCAGCGGCCGCAGCCTTCCCCCCAGCCGCCGCAGCTTTCCCCCCAGCCGCCGTGCCCATGTATGTAGAAGCTCTCGGGGCCGGCCGCGTGCAGCGCGGCGGAAAGCGGAGCCGGGGGAGGAGGAAAGGGACGGGACTGGACGGGACGCGCTCTCCCCGACACACGCGGCGTTTTCGCGGAACCGAAAGCGACTCACGGCGCCGGCCAGCACCCCGCCCGCCTGGCCCGCCGCCTCACCCGGCCCGCCGCCTCGCCCCGCACCTGGGTCCCACAGCGCGTGCTGCCCGTCGGCCGCGCCTTCCTGCGCGGCTCTGCGCTTCGTCCACGGGTTCTCCTTGGGCGGAGGGGCTTCGGCCGCCGCCGCCGGCCGCCGCCGCTCGTCGGGCTCGGGCTCCCGCCGGCTGCCGCTCTCCGCGGCCTCATTCCCGGCCTCTCTCTGCCGGGCCCCTTCCGCCGGCCCGTCTCGGCCCTCGGTGCCCCAGGCCGGGGGCTCGGCGGGCGCGGCGGACACCTGCGCGGTGGACATGCCCAGCCGGCCGCCGCGAGCGGCCCTCGGGGGAAGGCGGCGGGGCGCCGAGGCGGGGCGGCCGTCTCTCCTCCCCCGGCCGCCGCCGCTCCGCCCCGCCTCCCGGGGCTCCCCTGTCAGCTCCGGCGGCCCCTCCGCCGGCGACCGCGGCGGGGGCAGGAGAGGAGGAGCGAAAGAGGCCGCTCGCTGCCAGCCGCCGGCTCGGAGGGCGGCGGCCGCCCCGGCGGCGCGGTGAGCTCACAAGGGCCGCGCCGCGCCCCGGCCTTCGGGGGGACGCGCCAAGCGGCCGGCAGGCACAACGCGGCTCGGCGCCGCGCGCAGCGACAGGAAAGGCGGCCGGGAGCGCTTCGCTTTACTCGGGACCGGGGCCCGCCTCGCAAACCACATTAAAAGCTGCGTTAGATGGGATGCATGTTGCAGCGCTGCTGGAAAGCTGCCGGTCAGGCTGAGCTGCGCAACCGGACTGAGCGCGAGGCGCGTGGCCCGGGAGGCAGCGGCGCTCATCGGGCCGCGGGGTCACGTCTCGAGTTTAACGGGTGGGGCACGTGGGGTTTCATAGGCCTTTCCCTCCCTTAATTACGTGATCGTACGAAACGATAAAGGTCTGAAAACAATTCCTTTAAAAGCTAGTTAAGTACATTTAAAAGGAACGTTACAAATAATCAAATTTCTGGAGTTTTGCCTCGGTGGAAACACCTCTCATTTGAGACACCATTACTCTGCTTTACTGAGGTTACGTAGATACAAATCTGGCCAAACTTAGCACACATTGCTGTCAGTACAGATTTAAGCTGAAAACATTGGAAATAAGTGAGATCTTTCCTAGCACTACATTTACAAATGCTTCTGAAGCACTTTCTGTACAAGTGACGTGTCATTTTTCTTCATTTTTAATCAATAGCAAAAAAAAAAAAAAAAATGCAGTTGAAGTGGTTTGAAAACTTGCTACACCTAGAAGCATTTTTCTTAGCAAGTAAGAGTTCAGCTTATTCGGGTGCACAACATTCACAAGGCAAGGACATGCCAATAGCACATCACAGTGACAAATTCATTTGAAATAATTTGAAATTGCCAGTGCCTAAGAGCATTATCTGCATACATTTACCCCTATGCTTCTGAGGAGTATTTCCCACACTGTCAGTTCAGAACAATTTGCAATTATTTGGTGTTCCAAAGTCAGAGGTTAGACAGAGGCATTGAAGACCACTGCCAGAGCAATAGGAAAGCGTAGAGCCCTACCTAGTCACTGGTAGAACAGCACACCCCTCCCGCTTCCTTTTCCTTCTCTAAGTGTTGGGGAGAAGGCAGCAGGTCTGTAGGGCAGCCAGGACATGAGGAACTGCAGTACTGGCACCTGAAGACCAGGGAAAAGCAGGAAATGGGTTAAGAGGTGGAGGAAAGCTGGGCAGGGGAGCAGTAACATGGTAGCATTACAGAACAGCATTTTACTCATGTCATGGTTTTGCATGGGGAATGACGTGCCTACAGACTATACAAACTTTCCTTCAACACTTAGTAACTTATCATTACAGCCAAGCTGACACAGAACCTGACAACTTAAGATAAAGAAAGCTCCCTGCCCCACCAACTGTAATTACAATCAACATGTATAAAGAAAAGTGACAAGACAAAATAAAAATATTAATAAAAATATGTAGTGTCTCCCAAAGCAAATATATCACAGCAAGAGTCTTTATAATAAAATCTGCTATTTAAAGAGTATCCATTTCAGTTTATATAGCATTCTAGTAAGACAAAGTCAGGCTCCATTACTTGGTGCCAAGATGTCTTTTTGCCATGAAAGGGTGTTTTGACTTTTAAAGAGTAACACAACACAAATGATTTACCTTTGCTACAACACAAGCTCAGTGGTCACGTTTCAGGGGCATTTTTTGGACTTCAGAAGAAAAATTACAGCTCTATTTGACGCTGGTTAGACACATTTCAAAGCTGCTTCTTCCAACTGCAAAGCCCACTTCCCACACCATTTGTCCCCCTCACATTTTGTCAATCTTAGCATGCTGAGGTGTTGCTAGTGTCTTCAATTCTTAGCCACCGTAACTGAACACTGCAACACAATTGTGCCTTGGTTGCTGGACACAGTTGGCAAACTGCAGTTAGATTGACTGCTCCAGTTCCACAGAGCAAGGCACAACAGTTTTCCAGTGTTTTCTTTTTCTTTGTATATAAACATCTGCAAGCCTCAGAAATGAAAGGCCAGTAACATGCACAGCTATCTGTCCAAAGCAGCCTTTCAGCTCGCGTGCGATATTCTCATCTGTCTGAGGGACTACTGCTGCTGATGAAGCCACCTCCTTTCTCCTCTTGAACAACACTCCACCAGCCCAACTCTGCCTTCCCCCACACAGATGGAAGAACAACCATCAACAATTACTTTTGCACAATTCTACAATACATTCTGAGTCCATTACAGCACAGTACACCCTTCTGTGGAGCACAGGAACAAGCAGGAAAAAGTTCAATGAAGCCATGGAGAAGCCTAAAATTAGACTCACAGTGATATCTTAATTAGCTGACAGATAGGAGCTGAATGTAGAAGAACATGAAAGCAGTTACATTGTTTATTATGTAAAGCCTTTATCTTGTGCCTTAGATTAAGCACTCTTCTTATGTTACGGTGCTAGAAGGAATATTCAGGAATTAAAGGGTGACAGTGAGAGTTACTCTGAATTTGTGTTCACAAGGGAAAAGAACACCATGCAACAATTCTGTAGGATTTTTATTGAAAAACATAACATTGAAAAATGATCAAGGTCAGTTTTACAGGGAGTTTAAGATATGCAGAATGGCTTACCTGCCACTGGGATATTTTTCTCAAGCAATTTCTGGATCAAATATCACATTCTCACTTAACATCAAAAATGGTTTGCTAATAATACTTTCTTAGGACTCAGAATTTACTTTTAAAAGCCAATTTTCCTAAAATTAAAACACTGATACATCAATTTTCCCACCTACACAGACCAGCTGATGGCCTCCTGTGTTTGATATCTGGCAGACATGAACCACATACATAATTTCCTTTTTTTTTTTTTTTTAACCTGAGAAATCTTTTCTATGTTTCTTACTGTACTCTATTATTTGGCAACACTGCTTTAGTTACATAGCAGTGGGATTTACAATTGTTGGAGACTGGTCCTTGACTACTTTCAAAAGCCTTTCTCAGAAACAGGAGTTACATTCATACATATCTGCTTCATTGCATAGTACGCCCTTTTGGAAAGTTCAACTCATTAATAACATCATCAGAACACTAACCTCAGGATGTCACGTTCCCATCAGTTGTGTAATTCCTAGTATCGTACACTTTAGAAATATTTATGTTGGCATGTTACATTTGTAGTGTAGAGAAGTTGATTTTTTAAAGCTTAGTCCTGGCCTTATAAAATAATCTTTTTCCTCTTCCATTTATTCACGCCCTGTCCCTTGCCACCAGTTATCTCCCTTTCTTTCACAGCTGCAACAGAAACAGGACAAAGCACATAAATACATTTAAATGTGGCCACGCACGGAGATGCAAAAGATTTGGTGAACAGCCGACAGCCTTCTTGTAAAACATTCTTAGTTGACAGGTGAGTTAGTTATCAAGGTAAAACCCGTAAAACTTTCAGTTTAGTATTCAAGTATTTAATTTTAAAATTCAGAGCTTACATATTTCATTCCCAGTCTTCCAAAATTCAGTATTTTAAGATTTTGAAACATGCTAGTCACTTTACACCCGCTTCCAATACAGATAAAAAAACAACAATGCCTAACAGAAATGATGATAAAAACACCTGAAGCTATTTAACTTCCAACAGAATATCCCTTCTTGTGAATTTTCAGTACATTTTGATGTTAACTGTCTTTGGTTTTCACAAATTGCTGCATTCGGTTTTATCTCAGTTTATCTGACCAGCAATACTAGCAGTTATCAGTTCTGTCTGCCAGACTGAAATTCAAGATAATACGCTGGAACAAACAGAGCTTTGATTGCTTCATGCACTATTAAAAACCATTATGGTAACCATGGAAATCAATAAGGCGTATGATTTGAAAGATACGTAAGTCACGTATCTCAAGAAATACCTGGATTTTTCTGTTAGTTTCTGTGTAACATCAGCCATTACAGTACTAAAATTAATATTGAAGCATTTTCGCTTTCAACTTCCCTGCAAACTTGCTTTAAAAGAACGATGCAGGACATTACCACTACATAGGATATGGACAGCTATCACACACGGCTGATTCATGATGACCTTTAATTTCACTTTACTTTGTTGGCATTTTTGATCCCAAAAGAAGCAGCAACAGATGGGATTTACTTAAATGTGTTCCTAACCCTACCTTTTTCTTTTTTAAAGGTCGGTTAAAAAAAACTTCCAAAAAACAAGAAGTTAATGTGACTGTTTTGATAACCCTTAGTCTCACATAAGTTTTTAACAATTACAATGTGTTTTTGCATATCAGCACTGAATGCTTTTTAAAAAGGACCCCTGCTTTCAAGGAGATGTTTATAGCACCATATAATCTGCTGTTGGTTTATCTGCTTAGAATCAGAGTCTTTCTGCCACTGTTTATCAATAAAAATTATTACATTATTATTCCCTTTAGCAATTTTTTACAAAATCTACTAGAAAAATCTTCATTATCCAATTGAATGTATGTAAAAAAATGAATTACTGGACACTCCATTTAGAGTTATTCCAGTTCTGTAAAAACAATGAATAGCTACATGAGTCTTCCGGAATGGCACCATTTAATTATAAACAGCAGAAAAATGTAATGGATGCATTGAATTAAAATGTCTCCCTCACTCTTCATTCAGGTTTTGAAAGCTTTTCGTAAGATTTAATTCTGCCTCATCCACTGTAGATCATTTTCAATTCAGAATAAGAGAAAATCAGTGACAAACACAAGAGGCAGAGTGCTGGCCAAGCCATATTAAAATGCAGTAGGAATAGCAAGTGTCAGGGAAGCAAGAGGAAAACATGGTAGCT